GGAGCAAGAAGCTACTAGGGGCTCCTGGCCTGAATACTAGGAGCAAGGACTCTCACCACGGAAGCCGTGCCATCACGGGCCTCCACTTCGATAGTGCGTGGCGCAAAGCGCTGCAACTGCTCGGGCGCCTTGGGGACACCAAGCAAAAACGAGGCAACCCTGATGGAGAGTGCTAGGGGGGCTGTGTACAGTAGGGGTCTACCTGCAGTCTACCTATCCTTAGAACACCAAGGACAACATCTGAGGTTCAACTGTATGTTTCACGTGACCTGTCACACGCTCCCAGCGTTCATCTGGACTTTCAACGTTCGTTTTCAAACTCCCCGTCGACTCGTCACCAGCTGCTCTGGGCGACTGCCATCCGGTTCAGCCCGGGCACCTCCTGCAAAAACCATTTGCCCAGGAAGTCCACCGAGCTTCGTTTCGGCGATCCCGTCGCGGTGTCGACGGTGCACCACACAGGGCTAACCGGTGCCAAGAGAGCTGGAGATGCCTCGAGGATCGTCCGGCCACACCGTGGGCACGGTCCGGTCAGGTCACCGGTGAATTCGAAAACTCTGTGAACTTGGTTGGATTAACATGTGGGCGTTCGTGCTGTGGAACAGTGCTCCACTTCGTTTCCAAACGTCCAGGGACACATGGTGTTCGTTGTTCTTCTTTGTTTCCAACGGTTTGCCCATGGCTCCTCTGTGACCTCCAAACGTGGCTTTTTGGAAGAGGAAAGTCTTGTCACTTCCAAGGCCGCAGGCCAGTCAAAGCCTTTCTCAGGGAGATGCCTCAGCTTCACACGAGGGACCAACTGGGAAACCTAGAGCGTCAAGAACCAAATATCACTCAGTTGGCTAAGGTTTGCGTGAGTTCATCGAGAGAACTCTTGCTGGATGACTGGATTTCAGTGTGTTCTACTGATGTCACCTATAGTGTCCAACTCGAAACATGGACCAGTGCATCCTAGACACATGTTAGGTCCTGCTAGGGTAAGCAACTGGGAAACGCCCAAAAAAAGGAAGCGACAAACAAAGGAACAGCCATGAAGCAGCTTGCACTGTTCGTCACACAAAGTTTTTTGTGCACTAGCACTGGCATCCTAGGTCTCGTCCAGGCCCTTCTGGCGCGGGAGAACCTCAAGTTGCTGGAGATGTCAGAGTTGCATCATCCCCTAATTGCCAAGGCCTCCAACCTAAGAGCGATGGCCTCCAACCTACTATTAATAGCCACATAACTCGTGGAGATATCAGAGTTGCATAGCACGGTGTGTCTGATGTTGTTCCTTCAAAACCCCATCTGAGCCGGGTGGCAAGAAGGTCCAGGCGTTCCCCACAAGCCCAGCATCAGAGTGATCCGAGGCCCCTGAGAATCTGGAGAGGCCAAACTTGGGATGACGCCATGAAGTAGTTTCCCATTGAACAATAGCGCCTGAAGCGGCAGAAGAAGCGGCACTCCTCCAAACCGGACTCTTCATGCTTGATCACCCTTGCAACCACTGGGTTATAGTTGGTATTCGGAAAATGGTCGAAAACACGGGTCAATTCTCAGGTTCTATGTTAGTTGTTGGGGGGGTTACCCTGCTCTTCTGTTCATCACTGTTGCCCCACCGGTGCCCTAAACAGACCAGTGGCTCTGTTCACCTTAGGCTCACAAAGCCAGGCCCGCTTTGCTCGGCTTTCAGGTTGTAGATCTTGGTCGGTGACCTGCAAAAGGCCGCTTTTTTTGCAGCCCGCCGCCTTCATGCCATGTTTAAGCATGCTAAAGCTGCCTATGTATTGGCATCTATCTGTAGCGGCGTTTGATTGATTCCTTTTGCGTGCGCCACTTCGTGCACTTCGTCGTTGCTTCCACGTGCTGAGCAAGCATGATCTGAAGTGATTTGGATGGACCGCGCGGAATTTGCGGCTCCCACATACTCAGCCCAGGCGCCATGGTAACGGAGCACCTTGAAGCGCTACCTGAGAGCAAAGCGAAAGTGAAACGTCAGCCGAGCCGCCTAGCTGACCTGATTGAGTTGCTGACAGGCTCGGTAACAAACCCAGAGCAAGAATCTCAAGATTCGACGAAAACCTGCCAAGTGTGATGTGTTTTTCCACCGTCCTCCCCGCCAAGGATCCACTCAAATACAGCACGCACGAGACCAGGGGATGTTTTGGTGTAGCTGCTTCCTGCGGAAGAATAACGCATAATAAAGCTTTGAAGAGAGCCACATCTTGCACCAAAAAAGGGAAACATCAAAAAACAACCATCTACTACATGTCCACCAGGCAACAGGCAACGACTTGCCTCAAGCGCTCTTAAGTCAACTTCATCCAAATCATAGTGAAGCTGGCGCCCACTTCCACTTCCAGCAGGACGTGAATGTGCCCACCATTCCTCAGTGGTCTTTTCATCGTGATGTGCATGGCGACGACGTGCGACGCGACCCGTTCGCCACGCCCAGCTTCGAGCGAGGTCACCCGTTGGTTCTGCAAAACCTCTGGGAAGCTCTTGGCAGCTAGTCGCTCTAAAGTTTGTGCTGCCAAAGTGGTCAAGCTGCTCTCCTTCCACGTGAGGCTGACAACATTGATGGGAAGGTGGGACATGGTAACAGGATGAAATAGGACCGATCTGCATCAAAGGCTACCATATCAAGCCACAGCTTTACACTGAGGCCTACTCCAGTTTTCGTGTCTTGCCCAGTGATGCCACTCTTTCGCCCTCATCCTCCAAGGACTGATTGTAGGAAAAGAAGCCGGGCGTTGGATAGCAATGCCTCAGAATGATTTGGGGTATTGAAAGAGGGGTGGTTCAAGGGCCTTTCGTCCGGTTCTGGTGGAAAAGCTCCGCAGGTTGTCAATGGTCAAAGGCACGGAAACATGAATGAAGGTCTACTCAATTGCCATCAATCCATGTGCCACTACGTGGGGCTGCGCATCCTGATTTTCCTCCCCTTCACACTTGTCGGCAGCTCAACCCCAATCCAAAGGCATCATGCTCAAGGGGCTTCCTCTGCCAAGCAGCTCGCTCCAAAATGCTGCCTCTGGCTTGAAGGCGTCCTAAGGCTAACGGAAGTGGGCCAGCCATGTTTTTTTGGGTGGAAAGGAGTGAAACGCACACGCACCATGGCCAGGCTTAAGAGGCTTTCGGACCTGAAGGCATATCTAGGTTGACTGGAATCTTGACACCACTAAAGCCGGCCCCCCATCGCTGCGAGCACATGCCCTTGAAGTGGTTTGACCGGGGGCTTTGTTCGTTTTTGAGGTATCTATCTCAGGGGGAAAGAGTCTTTGTCAGAAACTTCACACATGTCATGCCCCACTCTCAACACCCTTGGACAAATGTCAAAATGGGCGCAGTGCGCTTGGGCAAGTCATGCTTTCTGGTGGAACTGCCCAGTGGGCAAGTTTAGATTGAACAAAAGAACGTTGTGTGGCCGCAGCTCCTCGAAAAAACGGTCAAACATATTATATAGACATAAAAAAGAATCGTAGTTAAGTTATGCATGTAGAATGTATATCGGTATGTCGTGTCAAAGTGTTTGCGAAGGTCATCACTTGCGCACTGTGACATTGATACACATGCTGAACAAACACTCAAAGCCTGCGCTCACAGACCAATGGTGCATCCATCATCGACACTCATAAGGCGCCTGAAGGGATGATAGAAGCTCCAGCGGCAGAGCATCATCAAAAGCAACCACCAGATTCTCTTCACCTACACGGCAGCTTCGTGGCGCTGTCTCAGGGGGCTGCTGAGCGAGTGCTCTGTGCTGAGCACAATGCTTGAAAATAGTTTCTTCGACTGCAAAAACGCGCCGTGAAAACCCGAGGACGGCAGCTTTTAGGAAAACCGATGTGGGGCGCCTGGTGTGTGGCTGCCCAACAAGCACGTGCCGTCCAAGATCGCAGGGCTTAACCTCGTCGCAAGATGTGGATCACATCCTTACAGTACTTACATGTTAAGAAAATAGTCATACATAATTACAGAACCCCAAATGGATAGAAAAGTAGATCCCCACTCCAAATGTATTGGAAACCGTTTCTATCTATTTGGGGACCACTATATGGGGTTGCCCAATGTTGCCAGGTCACTTCCAGGCAAAGCCCAACTCTTGCAGCCAGCGATTGGACTCCTCCGAGTGGCTAAGCAATTGGCTTTTTGGGGGGCATGCCAAAGCTCCGACCGCGTCTACTGTCCGCAGGCTGATACAACTGAACTCCAGAAGCTGTGGATTGGGCACTCTGAATATGACGATCAATGATCCTCCTTGAGGCAAGTCCTCAATGTCTCACACAGTCCAACCTGCTCTTCCGTCCGATCTTCTGTGCCTCGTGCTGGCCCAGCTGGGCATGAAGCAAAGCAAGCTCGTACCTCGCGACCTGTCAGTGGTTTGGCCCCCTTTGGGTGGCTAATCCAACCCCAAACATATCACCGCATCTTCTGCACAGCCTCTGACTGTGCTCGGCCCCTTTTTGCTGCTTGCTGCAGCTTCTCCAGGGCAAGTTGGTGTTGGCCTCAAGTACAGCTCAACAATCCATGGAGCCCCGTAGAGCCCCGTAGAGCCACGTCTGGTCTGCTTTCTGCCACTCCGCCTGCATCCTTGGCCACTTTGGCCTGCTCCTCAGCTTCGCGCGATGGGAACTGATGCAATACTTGCCGCCCTCTGTTGCCCGGTTGAAAGGAGTATCAAGTATGCGAAAATTTATACGAAAATTGATGGAGATCTGTCAACTTTGGCCGGGGCTCCACCAAATCCTTCGCACTCACCACTCTTGACGGCCTTCCTTGCGCAATGCTTCTACTGAAAAGTATGAATTTCTCACCCTGTTTCTCACCATGCTGCCACTCATGTCAATGAGCGTCAAGGAAGCTAGACACTTCTAATAACACCCCCCCTCATCAGTCAAAGGCTTCAAAAACCTTACCAAAACGTCCTGACAATCATTTGCGACAAGGTGCTGGCTGAGCCGGCCGTTGATTTGCCCATGGCATCAAATTGGCGATGAGCACCCAAGTGACACATCCGAATCTAAATTCATAAACTAGTTGGCGGACCATTGATGATCCTGCATGCAGTCCTCCAGCTCAAGCACCAATCCTTCTTCTTGGGTTGTTGCGAGGGTCCCGAAAACAGAAAACAAAAAACGGCAACAAAAGTCATGTACGCTTCTGTTCTATTTTGTGAAATAAGCTCCATATACCCACCGCAGCATGTCCTCATTACAACAACCAAACCTTCTCCACAGGCATTCTTGGGTTGTTGTGGGAGTCCACCCATCTATAAGCATTGCTGATATTCGCTAGGGAATAGGACTGTTCTTGAGCAAACGCCTCCAAAGAATTCATGGCTAAGCTCTCACTGTGGTATGCTGACCCTTCAAAGCTCATCTCTGGGAATAGCTGATCACATCACACACGTTGAGCCCCAGCCCCTCTGTGCTCACACGTCTTTGCTTTTTTCGAAATGCTCTGCCGCACAAAAAACGGCTCTGATTGTATCTGCTTCAGCAGACACTCCCAGGGCTTCATTAGCGGTTCTTGTTGCAGCACTTGATACGACTTCGGATCGAGTGCTGCGCCAAGACGTTAACTTAACCTGACACAGCCCATGGCCCCTGAGCAAGCAAAAAGGCAACGTACAACTCTTCAATCAACATGCTATCCCTTGTTTCATCTTGTTTCTTCACATCTCTCTTCTTTTCGTGCCCTTGGGCTGCAAAACCAACCATCTAGCAACACCGGGTCATGCAAACCAACCGTTCGAATTTCGGGCGTCCTTAGGCTCGTTGATGCTCAAAAGGATTGGTGGGCCTCCTCGGGTACAACAAATCCGCTCGGAAGCAGCCCCGGACTCCCCATATGCGTGATGCTCGCTGGACAAGCGTCTTGTGGAAGAGCTGCTTGTTGATATAGCCGGTCAACCTCGCTTGGATGAGTGACTCTAGCGACTCATTTGCAACGTCTCGCCATACACCATCACAATTTCATGGTTTCGGTGTTGCCTTCTGAGGAGGAAAAAAGAGCGACTTGGGCGTTAATGCCGCCAGCCAACCAGCATCCGCGGCAAGCGATTTTCAATATCTTCGGCATCCGCCTCAGCATCGAGAAAGGACGAGACTAGACCAGCATCCACAGTGATTGTTGAAAAGCTTCACCGCAAAGGAGTAACACAAATCCAACTAACGAGGATTGAATGCCAACAGTTTGTCATAGAAGAACATGTTAATATATTTTCATCATATATTATTATAGAACCAGAGGTACATAGAACATCATAGAACTGCAGGCAACAGGCCAGCATCATCCAGTATCCACGCCCTGAAAACCACAGTTTTCGGCATTCCCTCTTCCACAGCCACTCCCCTCATACCGTTTGGGCCCAGCGTCAGTTGCAAACTGGGCCGGCATCTCCTGGCATTCAGAGAGCGCCAAGCACAAAGTCGTCGGAAGTCTGGGCGCTAGCTTCATCATTCATGAATCGCCAATCACCTTCTGAACTCTGCACCCCTACCTTAATTGGGGAGCCCAAAAAAAAAACCGTCAAGATTTAAAAAAACAGCCGTGATCAGCCGTAGGTGGTTGAAAAAGAGGAGATCAACTTGAACTCCCGGATAAACCTCCCTTCGGCCTCGGTGACCGAGAAATGCATCGTGGTCCCAGTGGGCGGCTGTAGGTCTTGAGGTTGCAAGTCCTGCATGAGGTCATCCGGAGCCACTGCAGAGGACGCGTCCTCCGAGCGATGTCTCATCCGGAAGTGCGTTCATGGCATTGGAAGACCTACACCTACACCGTACAGCCCTTGACCTTTACTCCCACTTGTTCCTACTAGCTTCTTGTTACTACTAGAAAGGCACCTGTTACTACTAGCGTGGCACTTGTTTTGGCAGAAAAGGTGGGGGGGCTTTCAACTTTCGATCTTTCTTCAGACGTCGCATGTGACGTGGAAGATCTTCGACTCGAAGAGTGGCTAAAAGGTTAAGAGCAATTCCTCTTTCTCAAGGGCCTGAAGGGATGCGAGATGATGTCGTTGCACACCACTGGGAGTGCCACTGGTTGATCTTGTTCCTTTTGCACGCCACACGTCGGTAGACGCACCATTCACGTCCGCGAGTTCGGTGGTCGACAACTCTACCCAACATTCACACCGTGATGGATCTGTGGCAAAAGCATGCATTCGCACGTACCTTCAGAGTCTGGTGGTCTCTGGATGGAACTTCAGTCGGCATTGTTGTTCAGGCTCTGGTGGCGAGTTGGCTTGGTGGACTGGTAGAAGGCTTGCCGTTTCATTCGCGTGGCTGTCCAAGCTGGGCTGGTGAGCGACCTGCCATTGGAACCTCGCGAGCTTGGCTCACATTGCACAAAAGGGTCAGGGGAAAGCTTCACTCAGTCCTGTGTCTGTATATTCTTCGTCTTGACCTTATCTTGCACCCTTCCTCCCCGTAGCGGCCCTACGTGCCCAGGGATCCCCCCTGAGTCCCTGGTCGGATTCAAGCGCTGCAGGGTTGCCTCCATCTGATTGATCTGAACGTTCCTGACTGTTGGTAGAACATTCTCTTACATCCTCTTGCATCCTCTGGTCGCTGGCCTTATCCAACATCCATGGTCGGTCCTGCCCCAATGGCTCCAATGGCTCTGCCGCAGCCTCAGCCTCTCTCGGCTTTTGGGCTACGCCCTCCCGAGGGGGCCTGCAGTCTGCTTCTTGAAAAGTCTTGAAAAGTCTTGAAAATGCCCAGACTAACACAGCTAACCAGCCTTGAAGCCTTGGGTAAGCTCTTTTGTGGCCTTAGAAGCGCTCAAATTTTGAGGCAGAGCCGAGAAACATGCACCTCTCAGATCAACCCAAGCTCCTGGCACAGGTCTTGGCAACTTGGTCGCTTTAGCTGTGGGGTAAAGTGGGTACGGCTCCCTGGCTCTGGGATAACACTGGGGCTTCTCCTTCTTGGTCTTCCCCACCTCGACTCAAACAGCACATCCACATGCTATGCCACATGCATCCACCCAACTCCAAATCCAGGCCTGGATCGCTTCAACTACGCAACCATCCTCATAGCCTCACGGCTGTTTCTGGAACAAAAATCAACGAAAACATATGAAAACCGATGGTCGTCCGCCAAGAGACGCAATCGCCACTCTGCACCCCTCCGAGACCACACATGCCAGTCATTTTTCTGGCCATTGACATACCTTAGAAGCACAAAAAAAACATAAGACCCATAAGGCCCAATTCCTGCACCCACTCCATTTGGTGCAAAGATGCAGCTGCATACTGTCTGGGAACATGCAAGACACAAAGGTTGCCTCGTACAACTACAGCTTGTGACGGCAACCCAATGTGATTCCACTGATCTGTTCACCAGGTGCCATGCACCTTAAGGTCGAGGGGCTGGCCTTCCTCGACAGCCCCATCAGCCCAAGAGTAAGTACCAAAGCCGTGCTTCCGGTTGCTCACGTACTGGCCTGAGAGAAACGGTTCGTATTGTCAGCCCTGTGGCCCCCCCGAACCATCGCAGAAAATCGCCTTCAAACTTGTCCCCGTTGTCGAAGCGGACCTCACAATTGTGTCTCGTGAAGTTGGCGCCAAGAGTAGCTAGGCATGACATGCAGCTCCCAAACGACAAAAACTCACACACACACACACATATATATATATAACATTACTATACACAGACACATTACAATTATATAAAGCCCCTTGAAAGTTGTTGGACAATTGTCGAAATCTTGCCTGGCAATTTCGCCTGGCTTACGCCACAACTGAATTGCCCATACACTGGCTCTACCATCTCTTCCAATTGGCATCAAGCAGCAATACCACCACCAGTGGCTTCTCCTCTTGACCACTGGCCCTCAAAAATGCCCCCATCAAACATCAGCGTGCCAATGCCATGCCGCTTGCCTGTTTGAAGCCGTGCGCGAAAAAAAGCCGGCGGCACTCGTCGGCTGAGACCGTACAGGACCACTTCGACGTCGATTGCGACTGAGCCGAAATGGCAGGCCTGAGACCCACTGACCTGCATAGGTGGTGCCATCTTTCTGATTGAGCATTCCCCAACCTTCACGAACACCAGCCTCAGGCACACTTTCGCGCGTGCGGGGTTCGTGACATACTTTTGTGGTGACTGATGTAAGACGTAAGAATATCACTCAGGAAGGAGCCTTGCTCCTCAGAACTGTGAACACCGTGGCCGCACCATGAAGTATATAACAAAATGGTTGCCAATGAGAACTCCCAAGCAGCTGAATCACGCACACCACGATAGGTGTTGCCCGATGGAAGGCCAGCTGACTGCCAGCCCCTTGAGCGTGGGTAGGAAACCTTGCCAAGTGAAAGTCAAGCATACTGCCAAACCATCAAACACCTGGTACCTGATGCCTTTGTGTTTGGACAAGCTCCCACGTGCTCTCCTGCTCCGTATTTGTGGCTTTTTGAACGGCGGTTGTAAGTGAGAGCTGAGGCAGTGCCATTATGGAGGTAGCGGCGGTGGTGGTAGTGGCTCTGGTTCGTGTGCTCTTGTTCTATGATGTTCTATGGGTAGTTGGTTGTGATTCATGGTCAAATCGAGTCAACGCGATGTCTCATAAGCCGGCCAAGTCTCATAAGACTTTTTCGCCGATGGTCTCCCTTTTGATGCTCCTCAGATGTAAATCCGTGGGTCGGCAAAGACTCCGATTCCACAAATCGTTCAGCGGTGTGAGTCTAGCTGCCAGCTACATCCCTTGGTCCATTGGTCACCTGAAGGGGGGATCAAAAAAACGACCTTCCACCAAGTCACGAGCGATTGGAGCTTTCACTCGAGGCGAGCTGCTATCCACACGGCCGGCCGAGTGTCGCGCCGGCCGCGCGGCGCTCGGAGCGCCGCGCGGCGTGGCGCTGCGCGCGCGGCGCGGCGTGGCACTCGGCGTAGCACTCGGAGCGCGCGGCGTCAAGCTCCGAGGGCTCCGGGCGCTCTGAGTGCTGCGAGGGCTGCTGCGTGGGCTGTGCGCATGTGGAGAGGAGACGAAGTAGTCGGAGTACTTCTGAATGATCTGCAGGCCAGTGGAGAGATGCTAACTGCTGGGTGCCGCCGCTGAAGAGCACCAAGTCATCCATGTCATGTCACACGTCCACCGAAGAATCACGAAAGACTCGAGGTTCACTCGTTCATCGAGACATCCAAATGTGGAAACATCGACTAATCCAAAAAAGAACAAGTAAATAACACCCAGTCCATGTTCTGTCATGTTCTTCGTCAGATCCCGACGTCCGAGCACGTCCTCCGAAGAAAACCATCGCGACCGTCCTCCCATTTGTCGCCTTGAGCGATGGGATCACCGGATCGCTGGTGCCAAATGCCGGGCTGGGGCGGCTGGACCACTTCGGGCTTGCGCGGGGGGAGGGTGACCTGTGGCAGTGAAGGACCAAACGTGACGGCACTGAGGGTTTGTGTGTCTGCCTCTGGTGGAGTGTAGCTAATGTAGACTCTTGACTAATAAACCACCGCTTTGAAGAGGATGTTCAATTCAATTGGAGGGGTGTATCAATCAAGAGTCTACATTACTGTTCTTCGTCCACTTTGAGGCTTACCTTGTGAACATGGCGGTGGAAGCCTTCAGGTGTTTCTGTGCACAAACCACTCACCGTTCGCTCCGCGACTAGAACCCGCTCCAAGCCACGGAGACCGGGAGTGCCGAAGGGCAAGCAGTTTATCATCTGCGCGGCGCACGCGCAGCCTAAGAACATCCGGACGCGAACCGAACGGGGCGAAACTGGCCTCAGTGCTAGGAACAAGGACGCTACGAACGGAGAACTCAATGAAAAATGCTTCGCAGCTTGGACCAAGTCCTTTTGGATAGCACGAGAGGTTCGACATGCCGCCGAGCCACTGCCACAAATCTGCTGGGATGCTGACCTTGCCACGGCACCCCATAAAGTTGCAGAAGTGCAAGCTAACTGTGGAATAACATGTCCTGTTGTTTCTCTGTATGTAATGTTCTTTCTGCCTTTTTCTTCGGGATTCTCTTGTTCTTCCTTTCCTTTATATCCAAGCTGCTGAGGAGGATAATGCGCCTGGTGGTGCCTCGAGAGAGAGAGAGAGGTCTCAAACTGGCATGTTGTGGAATGGTCTGCACCAAAGGCAACCAAAAAATAGAAAGAATCACAAAGGCATTCAGGGTCAATCCTCGCAGACCGCATGGGTATTGACCCTGGTACAACCAAGCTCACCAGCGCCACGCCTCTGGAATCACTGGTATCCCCTGCCTTGAAAATCATCGAGTCTAATGGCCATTCTTCGCGGATGAAATAAAAAGAAGCTAGGAGGCCATCGCTATTAGGTTGGAGGCCATTACTAGATTTACTACCAGCAACAAGAAGCCATTACTAACTTTAGTAGCTACTAGCAGCTACTGTTGCCTCTGGTGCCTTGAAAGTCATCGAGTCTAAAGGCCCTTCTTTGCCAGGGATGACTTCAACATCTTCTGCTTCTCGTTTCTGGCAAGAAACCGAATAGCATCCGGCAGTCTTGGTAGCTGGGGCTGCCCATGGACCAAGCTCCTCCCGTCCCAATGCTAACAGCTAGCTTGAAAGGCATAGTCAAGTCAAGCAATGGCATATGCCCTTGTTACTAGTAGCGTCCTTGCTCCTAGTAGCGATGCCAGGAGCCCCTAGTAGCGTCCTTGCTACTAGTAGCGATGCCCTTTGTTACTAGTAGCGTCCTTGTTACTACTAGGCAGAGAGAAGATCGGCAAAAGGCGAAATTGACTGTGTTTGGGTCACTTCCTTCGCACCCTTGAGGAAACCACAGCAGGCCGGGCGGGCAAGTCCTCTCAATCGGTTCAGCAACGGCCCTCGGAGGAGAAGCTCCTTCCAAAAGGATCACAACTTGGCACCGCTCGAGGATATGGACCTGTGTTTCTTTTTCAATGGGCCTCTGCCTTTTTGGCATGCCAAATGATCTCTTATCCTAAAAAGACTAAAGGTATATAGCCAGTTGCGAAGCACAGCAGAAAACCTAGCCGTCTATAGTGTGGCGAATGCGGCCCCGGCCTCGGAAGTGTGGTGGATCGGGAGCTGTCAGGGGAGCTGAAGAACCCTCCAAGTCCACCCACCAGGCATTCTCAGACCTCCAAGCGTGTTGAACAAATCGAAAATATAGTGTTCATCCTATGATGGTGATTCTTGAGCTAAACACATCTAAACACTCAATCTATTGGATTGGATTGGTTGTTTTCGAATGGGTGTGTCTTGGATATGGTGGATTTGCCATGGTAAAAAGCATCATGACGCCGCCATGGCATGGCGAAAGCCACTGCTTTGCAAAGCCTAGGTCGAAGATCAACCAAAAGGATTCCCGGCCTCTGCCGGGAAGGCAACGTTGGAGTTCGAGCAGGCGGCGCAAAAACATGATCCTCCACCACTGACATGTCCAAAGATTTCAGATCTGTATTGCACGAAACTTGAATTGTTCGTTGTCATCCACCGGCCATTTCCAAAGATTTCCAACAGATCCGTCTTCCACGAGACTCGACGTGCGAACCGCTGCTCTTCCATGCCAACCACTCGGCACTGTGGCGAAAGCGTGGCGTTCGAACGCATTCCACGCATTAAACGTATCAGGTGCCTCGCCCAGCTTCGGAGAGGAAGGCATTTGCCCAGCAAGATCTCGTCTCCTGAACGAGTCGGATTTCTAAGCACAGCAGCCGAATCGCGCAGCCAGCTGTGGCTGCAGCTTCCTGAGGCCCACACGGAGCCCACCGTGTGGGTGGATCCTGAAGCAAAACAAAAAGAAAGTAGGAGTGAATAGGAGGGCGCGATGGCTTTCGAGGCTGTTCGTTGCAGGCGGTGATTGAATCATATTGAATCCTGTGACCAGCACGCCTGCGGTGCAGGTAGAGCCCCTCCGTCCACACCTGAGGGCAAATCATGGCAAATCTATCGACATCAATTCGACTCGCGCCACGCGTTGCGTGTCCGCTGTACATCTGGGCGCCACGCCCCAAGCGCCAAGCGTGGGTGCGGCTGGGATTCCAAAGGTCACCTCTCAGTGCAGCGCGCAACGTTCCGAACAGAAACGCCGAGCTGAAAGGTGCCGAAGTCGACCGAAAACGACTTGGCATGTGTCATTGCCTCCAGGTGCTCCGGCTTGTCCTGGATAAAAGCAGGGACTTATCACCTTATGAGTTTTACAAGCCGGAAAGCATCCCACAGCACCAGTAACTGCTTCGTTGCTGTTTTTTTCCGTTTGTGAGTGGCAGGTGGTCAGAGAGACCGGTATGCTAGTAGCGCTGAAGGACTCAGTCATGTGAGGATGTCTGAAAGAAAACGTTCCCTTGCCTCTACACCATTTTAGCTCTTGTAGCCCGCAAAGCTCTTAGGATTAGCTCAAGCATGCTCAAGCCATACATGCAACTCATTGTGCTCACTCTGCCTGGCCTCTGCCTTCCGCTTGGAATACCATGGCTGTCGCGGCTTCTGCACCCCCAACTTGCTGGTTGGAGAAGGCGGGCTGCACAGGACACAGAGAGCACAAAGACATCAAAAATCCGAAGAGCTGATCTACTGGATGCAGTCAGTTGCAGCATGACTCTTTGTCAAAGGCGTTTGCAAACAGGACAAGCAACTTCTGCCACGGTGAAACATTGGCCGTGCCTTCCAAGTGGCTGCCGCTCTTCTGGAAGCTCCCTCCCAATGCTTGGTGAAGACCACCACTGGCCTAAAATGAGAAGGCTGAAAGCTTGCCCTCATGAGCATGGAGCACAAACCTGCCTGACAAATCGCCCCTTGGACTTTGGGGTCTTCCAGACGGCCTCCACGGGGCTCGACCTGTACAGATTGGCTCACTTGATGGCAGGCGTCTTCAAAGATCCACTCAGAACTTCCGGCTTTACACTGACTTGGCATTCAGAGCATATCATTCAGGTGCTTAAGATACACTTGCGCACTTGGCATTCAGAGCACCAGGGCCAACACAGGATCCCTTTCTGAAAGCATCCCAGTGGCCCTCCGGACTCCTGGACGGCGATTTCGGCGGCGAAGCTGCTCGAGAGCCTCAGGTCCACGGAGCATGCGGGCCACGCGGGCCACGCGGGCCACGCGGGCCACGCGGGACACGCGGGCCACGCGGGGCGCCCGAAGCGGGGCGCCACGACTGGGTCGCCGAACTGGCTAGGCTGCGTGGGCTGCGTGGGCTGCAGCTTCTGGAATTGGTACCTGAAAAGCGGAATTCGAAGGTTCTGGAAGAACTGAAGGATCACTTTCTCCACCTGACTTCAGTAGAAACATCTTGGGACCCTTCTCCTGGCCTGACTTCAAACTTCGAAGTCCTGGGCTGAGGTCGTTCGTATTGGCAAAAGTGGGAAGGCTCCAACAAACTCGGACCAAAGGCTGGGCCTCCGGATCTGGAACTTCCTTCTGAGGTTGGGCCTCGGCTCTGAAAGGAAAACCTCTCCTTCAGCTCTGCTGACAGCCACAAGGGCGAGTCCATTCGAGGGGGCCCGACGGGCTGCTCTCCGTGCTCTCCGGCTCGTTCTCTCCGGCGACGTTCCACCTGACCGGCCTCGGAAAAGAGCAGGTCGAAGACGAAAAAAAGGACGATCTCTTTTTTAGGCCTTGATTGAAGGCCCCCCTTGATCTTTAGGTGAAATGCCTTCGTCATAAGCTCTCTTTGGAAGGGCACCACGAGTTAGAGGGGGCGAACCGTTGGACCATTCGCGAGTGGGTTTGGGATGGTTTGGGTGAGGCATGTCATGCCATGTGTCTAGCCGGTCGTACCAGGCCACCCTGCTACCAGTGCTCTGTGTGGGCCTCTGTGGCACCACCCTCGCCTCAGTTGAAGATGGCATGATACGGTGCGATGCCCTTGTTACTAGCTTCCTGCTACTCGTAGCAATGGCCTCCAACCTAGTAGTTTCTTGCCAGTATGCTCATGTGAGCTCTCCACACACCAATCCAACCAACAAAGCTGCGGTGCCAAAACTCCGGACTCTCGGGCAGTGACCGGCCCAACTCGCTGCCCTTTTTGAGAAGCGTGTGCAGGTTGATCAGCTGCAGGGCAGGCATGCAAAGGCAGACTTGGGATGCACTCATTTCATCGTGTTAGACGCGGGGCGTGCTCTTGAAATCGGGTCCTGCCATGGATGGCACAGTCCAGGACAATAACATCTATAACTATAACCTGGCCGTGAAGAGCATGCCCATCTCGGCCTTTCCATTTTCCACGATTGATCTTCTGTGCTTCCCCATAGGCTCTTGCTTGGCTCCGCTGATGCCTTGAAATGACTGTCTGGATTGGGTGATGCAAGAATCGCCACTGGAAGGAAGACAGGTTGGTTGGTGCCTTTTTTGGGCGATTGTAGTTCACTTTTGTCACCTACAAGCTTGATTACGCAAGATTGCAGAAGTAATGCAGGCTCTTGGTTAATAAAACCACCACCACATATTTCATGGCATGCCCATTCAATTTGTTTTAATGGTCACAAGCCAAGGGCCGCTGTCACTCTATGGCCTCCAGCCCAGTAGCAATGGCCTCCAACCTAATGGCAATGGCCTCCAACCTAATGGCGAAAGGCCTCTCCACAGCTACGGATCACCAAGTGCTCCCAGAAAACGATCCACCAACTGCTGGCCCCGTGACGCACTGGCCCTTCGGAAGGCTTGAATCTTCCTCGCAGCTTGTTCTTTCCTTGCTGCCTGGGGTGGAGACAACAAGGGTTTCCTGTAGATTGTCCCTTAAACCCATTCATCGAGTAAGTAAATGACAAACCCTGAAAACAATACACATGTACAATCTATTGTACTTGCTTTTGGCCAGGTATATCACTGATTCGTATGCATTCATCTGCGCAGTCTGTGGTTTGAAGCGCTGAAGGGCTGGTAAAACCATGTTTCACCTCTTCTCTGGCGGCGGCTTCACGCTGTTCAGCATGTTCCTCTTGTAGTGCTTTCCAGGCTTTTCTTTCACGCCTTGGAGGCCGATGAGCGGTCTGACCGCAGCTCAGCTGCGATGGAGAAAGTGGGAGACCGACGACTACCCAATGGTCAGCTCAGGTCGATCAGCCGAACGCACCGAGGAGATCGCGGAGCGTCGCGGAGCGTCGCGGAGCGTCGCGGAGCGCGGATTCCATGCATTCGAGAATCTCCTTCTCAATCCTTCTTGCTCGGTCCTCGCGCTCCGACTCTTCGGGATCACTGTCTTGCACAAGCTCCTGAAACCCCACGGCAAGCATTTCATTGGACCCGATTTCTGAACTCCATGTCTACAAATACCCTGTCGTTCCCCAGGTCATCTCGATCATTTCTTTACTAATCAAGTCTCCAACCTCAATCATTTCTAAAATAAACAAACAATCTCTTTTGACTCTTGACTCAATCACCTCTCAATCACACCGAAGAGTCAAGAGGGCCTCGGCTGGCTCTGAAGCACGACTCCGCGACGAGGCGCTGCGGGAGCGCCCCGCGCGCATTCGTCCGCCCGGCGGTGGGAAGTCATGGCCTCCAAACAGAGGTCTCACTGAGTCCATCCACGGCCAACGACCCTTTCATTCCAACAGAGCGGTGCAAAAACATCAAAATGATGCATGTCCAATGGCCAACGGCCACTGGACAGCTCCAATCAATAACAAATAAGATGAAGGAGAACCCTTGTTTGCTGCCTGTGGCCTGTTCTTTCTGCGTTTTTTGCGGCAGGCCACGCTTCCTCTCCCGAGCCTGCCAACGTAGAGGTTGAAGCATTACATACACATAAAATGCATATACTGATAGTCAAATGGTTTTGTAAAAATGTATCGAGGGGCGCGTGATCACCCATGTGAGTAGATAGGCAAAACACGCCCCACCGCACGAAATTGCGATATCGCACCTCCAGGAACGCATGTTGCCTTTGGCGCTCAAGCTGCTGTTGCTTTGCTGACAGGGCTTGTTTGGCATCTTTGGCCTTGCACAGGGTGGGCCACCCACTCTTAAAGAGAACCCCTGCGAGAAAGTAACTAGCGCATCGCTACTAGGAACTAGAAGCTACTAGTAGCTATTGGCCACAAATTAGTAGTAATGCACTTTTTACTAGCAACGATGCACTGGTTACTAAATGTAAATCACAACATGTGTTGAAGCAACTGGAATCAAATGGTGCATGCTTGCGACTCAGGCCTGCTGTTCCAAGCGTCGCTTCAATTTGACCTGTAGCCTTATCATCAATGTCTGATCGATCAATGCACGGACCAAGGGCTGTAGCAAACATGTTTCTGCGTCAGTCGTGCACAAAGAACGAAACTAAGTGGGGTGGTATTTGTTTAATCTTTTGTCTCTCTTTCTCTCTCTCTATCTGTGGCAGCTACTCCAGCTGCTTCAGCTCAAGTTGTCGCATCTGAAGCTGCATTGCCTGCGTGTGTCAAGGCCCAAGGCCACCCCGCACATACAAATGTTGGAGCCGAAAACCAGAAATAGTTCAAAATTACACCAGCATAGACCCAGATAGCTACACAGAATCCCACGACCTGTTGACATGCGGCTGGCTGGGCTGGAGCAAGAAGGCACAATGTACATTCAGCCTGCACAGCCAGCTTACGGCACCTCCAAAGCGCGCACAACACACCAGCACCAGCACCGGCACTCGACAGCACGCATTGCCAGCTGACAACACCGGCAGCGGTACTGACACCCGACCAGCGCCGCCGCCTGTCTCAAACGTGCGCGGAGCCAGCTCACAGCACCAGCGCCAGCAACACCGTCCCTACAGCGCACGCCCTACAGCACCAGCACCGACACCCTCTGGAAGGCGCGCGCAAACAGTTCATTCTTGTTTCAAGTATATAAGAACCCCATAGCTACCGCTATCTGGGGAACAAAACTTTGTCAAACTCAAAAATACATCATCTTCAGGCATTAAAGCATACGGATGTTCACGCAATGCTCCATCAACCACATTCACAGCTTTGGAATGAGACCGCGCACGACCATGTTGGCTCCAAAGGTCAACTGTCCCGCAGTTCGCCAGCTGCTTTCCAACCACCCTGTCTCCACCACGCGCACAGCCAGCACCAGCACCCAGCACACCCTGGTTTCCACCACCAGCACGCAACACCGGCACCCTGTCTCCACCACGCGCACAGCCAGCTCACAGCACCCAGCACCAGCACCACAGCCAGTACCAGCACCCCGCACCGGCACCCAGCACCGGCACGCTGTCTTGAAAGCGCGCACAGCCAGCTCATTTTTTGAAGTAAGTAAGACTTAAGAACCCCATAGCTGTCGCTATCTGGGGAACAACAAACAACGCAATAACTTATAAATACAGATCCTTTTCGGCGGACCTATTTTTAAAGGAACCCCAACCTTCCTTCATTCCGTTTGTTTTATTGTAAGTCCGACCTTCTTAGCAATGGGGCCAATCCGTCCTCAAGTTGTGGGATTTTGTTTTTTGGGGGAAATGTGATGATCTGATCGGATCCTGGTGACCTGGTGGGTTATGTTGTTTGCACATATTTCTTGTGGGGTCTCACCATTCGTTTGTATAATGCCTTGCCTGCTGCGCTTTCTGTTTTGGAGCTGCTTTGGCCGACGGCCTTCGACTGGAACCCGAATCCGGCGGTCCATCTTTGCACATGTGGACTGAATAAACCAACGCACGCGAACCAACAAAGCACTTGCAACAAATGTTCACAAACCAACCGGCATTAAGTCACGAAACCCCGTCCCGCTCGAAGTTGGAGCTGGCAATGAACTGCTCCTCAAGGCATGAGAGTGGTGCAGTTGAAGCAGGACCATTGCACAACAAGTGCGATTTGGACATGCTTCCTGTCAGACATCCGGGACGTGCTCTCTTCATCCCGCAAGCCTGGCCAAAACCCGGGAATGCTGCATCGGAAGTGCCAAACACAGATGCAACTCCAGCCTGACCGAAAAGTGTCATGCACAGACCAAAAAGAGGTCTGACCAGGCACAGGCTGGTCAACACCTTCCTGACACGTGCAGCCACCAACTGATCTACACAAAAACCTGAACCGCACATGATTCCTGCACTCTCTTCCGGTTGACAACAAGCGTCTTCGCTCGGCTGCTCCATACCAACCAGTGTAAGGTTTGGCGAGGCTGATACGAGCACAGAAAGGCGCCATGAAAGGTGAAGTGACAAATGGCACACTTGTTGTACCCGTGGGATTGAACTGATGAATCCACACCTTTGTTCCCAAATGTCACGACCGACATTCTCACACAACTTCTTGACAAACCTTCATTCACCATCTGCATTGATACCCGTGAAAGCTACCACCACACATACCCCTCGCTGAGCCAAAACAATCCAAGGTTGAAATGGCAGCTGCTGTCATCGGCGAAAATCAGGCGAACATATCACATGCTGCGAGAACGTTTCAGAATCTTTTGAAGCGAGGCCCTCGCAATGGCCCGCGTCCTTCTAGAAGTTGCTTCACCTTTACAAAGAAAAATGTTGCCAAACCCGGTTTGAAAACAAGAAAGCCACTCACTCAACACAAAAGTGCGTGGCCAAAATATGCCCAAATTCCCTCGGCTTAGAGGTGCTCAGGATCAGGCATCGACTACACCTACCGCATCGCTTTCGGGCAGCACCTCAATGCAAAAGGTCAAAATCATATGCTGATGACACCTTGCCAAACAAGAATGCTAGGCGGCCGTAATGCGCGCCATCGGAGATCACAGCGCCCGACAAAACAGGTATGTGCGCTGTTGTTTTTCTAGGCTTTACACGTTTTCAATTGACAGTGTTTAGTTTGCCCGGGTTGCACTACCAGTACCATAGCAACATGAGTCCCAATGGTTGGGCCACAATGGTCTGCGGGCATTCACACACTGAAAAGAACATAAGAAAACGACATTGCAAAACGAGAGCTAGCACCAGGAATGAAGACCAGGAAACACAAACCAGTTGCGATACGCATTTCAGAAAATTTGTGTACTACTATCGTCTTAGTTACTAGAGCGCCTGCGCAAAAACATAATCCGTGCTGACTGTTCCCACTGCATGTTGCCTCGCGAGGCTCGAAGAAGTACACGATTCCGCATTCAGGATGAAGGATCCCAACTGTAGTTCCTTGGGTTCCTCCGAGCATGCTTGTCACCATGCCATTTCACCGCCAAACCTTTGGCACGTTCTGACCTTATCGATGCCTGTGTCCACTATAATGGGCCATTTGGGTCATCACTGAGCTTTCTATGGACGCATCTGGGTAATGGAGGTGTCCTGGCAGCTTGGGGAATGTGCGCCACATCGGAACCCCTGTTGAAGTGCATGGGCCCATGAGGGAGCTGGTCTCGGTCAGGCCCATCACTTGAGGCCCCCAAAACTGCAATTGTGTGGGTTTTTTTCTTGGCCTTCACTCCTGCACAGTGTGGAGCATGGGTTGGAAGGATTGCCCGGACTTCTTGAAGGACCGCCCCAGCAAAACAACGAGCTGTGCTTCAAATGATGCCTTACAAGGGCACCCAGACTGGACAAGGTCACCAAACAGGGTCATGAATTCCGGCCCTGTTTGCAAGTGCGATGCACCCCTCTTGGCAGCAAATGCGCGGATCACACGCACGTCATCCCCCCCACCAGGAAGCCCTAGCACTCATGCCCTCGCCAGCTCCGTGGTTGTTTGTCGACCCACGCCCGACAAAGCAAACATGAAGATGCTGTGGACCCTCGGTGTGATTGCCTACTGCGCAACCGCGCAACGCCCTGAACACCCGGCGCCGGCACAGCTTTGTCTAGCTACGTGGTGCGGCGGTCTAAATCTGAAAGGCTGCGGCAACACAAACGCAACACGAACAACATTGCAAAGCGCACGGACTTGGACCGCTGTATTGCAACCACCCTGCTCGCCACAAACTTGAGAGAGGAGGGGGTGAACGAAAGGTAGCAGGCAATCACAAGTAAGTAACCCTGGTAGAAGTCCAGGCGGCGCCCCCCCCTGTCGAACAGAAGCCTTTTCTAGCGGATCAAACTTAAGGCAAAGCACCAAGTCCTGAGTTGAGATATTATTGCGAAAGCAAGGAGAACTGAGGTAGGTCAAGTTACTCCCACTCCCACTCCCAGTCTGAGCCTTTCCAGACTACCGTCGTGTTTGGCCATATTGAAATCTCCAAAAGCCAAAAAAAAACCTTTCCGACACAATCTTTCCCGGTTTTGAGCAATTTTCCGACCATTTTGGAAGCCTGGAACCCTCAAAAAACTTTCGGTTTTGACCGGGTATTCTGCCGGACAGCCACATAAAACCCTGTACATTGCGTAGCGTGAACCCATGCTTGAAGACTGGAGGAGCGGAAAACACTGGTATTGGGTGGTTTTCTGCACATTGACAAACAGGCACGCCAAGCTGACATCCATCGATATTTACAGGGCTTTGTGTTGAGAGGTGCTATATCTCTGTCAATGAAATGGGAAAATGCCACACTGCAAACCTTAAATCGTACACCGTGAAAAAGAGTCGAGGTTGTATGGGGGAGACGAACTTCTGCATAGCTTAAAGCCATCGACACTTACATGGCGCACAAAATCGTGTAAGTACCGTCGGTTTTTTGCGATTTTGAAGCCTCCGACACAACGTGTCCTGGTTTTTAGCCATTTGTAGACCATTTTTGAAGCCTAGACACCTCAAAAACCATCTGTTTTTATGATATTTTTGCCGGACAGCCACAAAAAACCCTATAAATTGCGTGGTTTGAGGCCACTCTTGAAGACTGGAGGAGCGTGTAAATACTGTCTTTTTTTGCGATGTTGAAGCCTCCAAAAGCTGAAAAAACATTTCCGACAAAATCTTTCCTGGCTTTGGGCAATTTTTCGACAATTTTTGAAGCCTAGACAACTCAAAAACCATCTGTGTTTATGATGTTTTTTGCCGGACAGCCGCCAAAAAAGAAAACTGACAATTGCGTGGTTTGAGGCCACTCTTGAAGACTTGAAAAAGCTGAAAACATTGTTATTTACGGTGTTTTCTAGCTGTTGACAAAGAGCCGCGCCAGGGTGGAGTTGAAGGGGCGGGGGCCGTGGCTTGGACTGTTCCGTTCTATGTGACGTTTGCTCTTGTCAAGAAGTTAAGATGTTTTTCACAATATGTTATTAGCTTTTTGTGCACATGTTGAAATCAAATGTTACATATCGTAGCAGTAGTAATCGTCGTCGTCGCGTCAACTGATGTATAGCAGTACATGAGCAGTTCGTGCGGGGTTCACGGGTGATTTCCCGACATCTTTTTTAAGTGCCGCGAGCAGTGAGAGTGACAGTTGAGTGGTCGCAGCATAAGTGGCTGCGATAGTCTGAGCAGCGCGCGTGGCTCGCGTGACTCGTGGGGGTGCACGGGGTGTGCGGTGTCCGCGGGGAATGACGGGGGCAGTTCTCAGTGAGATAGGCCTCCACTCTGGTTATTATTCGTTTTTGCCAAAGAAAAAAGGAAACTCAGGTAGCGTAACCGCTACCTTTCGTGACCAGATAAGACGTCGCTTGCCACTGAGTTCGTGGCTGTGCGTTCCGTTGTGTTGAGTGTCGGCCGTAAGCCTCCAAACGTGGTCACGCTGCAATCCATACATGGACAAATCCACATTGGCGATCGAGTTTTTAGCTCCGAAGGCCGAACCAGAAGGCATCAGACGTGACCTTGCTGGATGTTGTGTGTCCAATGATACCATTGTTTCGTCCAGTTCTGCATGGCCGTTGGCTTGCTGCTGTGCCATGAAACCGCACCACCCCCGCGACACCTGTTCCCCCAACCAACGTCCAGTCAGAAACTTCTGGCTGGGAACGCTGGCGGGCTGGAGTTCTTTGAAGATTAGCTTGAAGTATCTGGAAGTAGCGCTTCCAAGAAGAGGACAGGTGATAAGAAGAGAGAACTTAAGATTAAACATGCAGCTAGATTCAAATTCCCAAGGGGGGTCTTTCGAAAAACTTCAAAGGCCTGTTTGCAAATCAACTAGCTGGGCAGCCCAATCTCAAGAAAAACAAAAAACCATCAATCTCATATTCAGCAAATGAGAGAAACCATTTGTCCAACCGGACTGCCCCCAGTCTTTGATCGGGTGACCTGGTGAGCCTGAGGGCGACGATTGAGCTTGGCTCTGCGTGTGACCAAGAGTAACTCATGGGTCGACACTGACAGAACATGTCGCGAGGTGTGAAAAATGAATAATTGCCTGAAGATGGTGTGTACATACTTGTCAAAAAAAAAAAAAAAAACACATAAAAAAACTTTAGGGGAAAAAGGTGCCTAGAACTGGGCCTAGCATCACGCCCGCAAGTTGCTTCCGAGACCGTTTCGAACCTTTTTTGGGCGACCTTTTGAACGCTTTTAGACAACCAAAATAAGTATAAAACGGTCGCGCCCAAAAACGGTACCCCAAACAGCTGCGAGCCAACGAAAAACTAGCAGGTTCAACTGGCAGCTGGCTAGCAGACTGGCTAGCAGTAGCTAAGCCGAAAGAAACCGGCAAAAGAATTGCAGAGGCATTGAAAGACCGTGAAAGATCTCTTTAAAGATATTCAAAACCAGTCCGAACAAAGGGAACTATGTTGGGAGTCTAATTTAATCACGGAACTATATTGCAACTATGTTGGGCTGCCGGAGTATCATGGAACTATATTGGGATTCAAGTCGACGATGTTCCGGCCAATTTCATTTAGATTTCCATATTTCCATATGAAATTGTCCGGAAGATAAATGAGAAGATAAATTGAATACTCACAATCCAGGATCAAATTCATTCACGTCTCAAAACTTATAAAATTTCTGGAAAATAAATCGAAGGATACTTCTTGTGAAATGACGACGAGTCGTCCGGACGTCGTGCCCCAAATCGTGCCATGGCCATCTCCTCCGCTTCGCCATTCGGGTTTTTCATAAAGGCGATAACAAGGATAACGGAAAAAACAATGGCACTAACCAAGGCATTTCACCCTATGCAAATCCTATGATAATAACCCTATAAAATTTTCATAGGCGATAAGGAGGATAATGATGGCGATTCAATGCCATAAACTACTCGTGGCTTGGGATGGTTTATACCAACTGTTTGTACCCTTTGAAAGGCGGCCGTGTCCAACCAAGCATAGTC